CAACAAAAAAAAAAAAAAAAAAAAAAAAAAGAAAGAGGATATTGAAATATACAGGTTTTAGTGAAAAATAAAATAAATTAAGAGTCTGAATTAACAGTAGGTAGATATTTTTATTTGGTGGTGGTGATGGTGGGAAGGAGTTTAATCATCAAGATTAAAAAAAAAAAAAAAAAAAGTGTGTGTGTGTAGGGGGGGATTCAATTTTGTAACTCATTAGAAAGTGAAAAATATTCTAAAAAACAAATGACCCATGCATGTTTTTGAAAATACATTGTATTTCTGAAATACATTTATTTCAGAAGATTGATCAGTTTCTTTTTTTCATGTTGCTTTAGATGAGTCTTGAACTTACATCCTGCCACAACTGAGCCTATATTACATAGCAACACCATAACCAATTTGGATGCTGAAGTGAAAGATAATTTTTTGAAGTATAAAGTGATGGGTTCACATCCTGTTACAAACAAAACTGGCTTCCAAGGCAAAAATCTGATCCTGAAGCATGAAACAATGTAGTCTTCAACAAGCTTGCACAACAATCATACCAATGAAAGAAGGTAAGTTCAATAGATTCCTCCATACCACTAATGGATGCATTCTAATGAATCAATCAGACCTGCTGAGGAAGATTTTAGTTGACCCAGACCCACTTCTAATCATCAGCCAGGTGAAAAAAAAACTTTGTCATTATTGAGGCATTTCAACCTGAGCACCAAAAACCATAGGCAAAAATACTCTCCCTTTGCCATGTTTTTAATGGATGTCAGTTATCAGTTATCTCCAAGGACACATGGCACAGTGGATAAAGGTGTTGGTTAGATCCAGTGACAGGACCCCAAGAGTGTGAATTCAATACCTGGTTAAGGCAGTGGAGAACTTGGAGAGGGGAATTAACAGGAGATAACTGACATCCATTAAAAACATGGCATGTGGAACTAGAACAGTCTACTCCAGTGAGCGAAATAAAGGGTTCAGTTCGACATTCCAACTGCCTGAAGAAGGCTGGAGCGCACAAGGGCTGAAACGTTGTGATAAATATGGCGACAAAGATGAGGACAATAGTCCGAATAATGTAAACAGTGTAATTTTAGGGTGTTTCCTAGTTATTTCTTGAGGGCATGAGAAAGTGAGAGGATGAGTGACCTTACAAAAATCTATACATATGAGACAAAAAAGTCTTATTAATTATAGGTTCCTACCTCATGTCACCCTATTTCCCTCAATTTTATTTTCTTACATATTTTATACTAATTTTAGGGTGTATTCTATTTGAATCTTTTTCGTACCTAGGAAGTGAAATAAATTCTACTGAAAAAAAAATGTGAAAACTCGCATAGCTAAAGCCTGGGCCACCTTGAATAAAACTGACATAATCTGGAAATCTGATCTACCAGACAACCTCAAACAGAGTTTCTTTCAAGCGACTGTAGAGGTGGTTTTAATGTATGCAGTCACTGCTTGGACATTAACTAAAACTACAGTTTAAGCTTTAGGGAACTTATGGTGGAACACACCTATTCTATAGTTAATAGACTCTCCCACCTATAATAAGCAGGAGTCGGTCAGTCAGTCGATGTCGGACGACAGTCAGTCAAATACGAAAGTATCAGCGACCACAACCAGATTACTCTGTGTTATACCTATTATATCAAGGTCCTAACGTTTTGTACGTTGAACCTATTTTAGGACCGATTTAGTACAAATACAAGCCTCCACTGCAAAATCACTCCACAACAGGAACCTACACTTGGATGCTGAAAGGTATACTTAACATCTCTTGGAGACAACATCTAACTAAATTACAGCTTTATGGACACATCTGATATTTCTATACTCTTACATAAATGCAGAATGTGCTTTGCAGGACACTGCCAGCAAGCAAAACAAGAACTTGCAAGTGATATACTGCTCTGGATATCTAGCCATGGTGTAAGATGGGCTGGTCACCTAGCAACCACTTACATTGACCAGCTATGCTATGACATGGAATGCCACTCTAATGACTTTCAGACTTTGATGCAGGACCGTGATAGTTGGAGTGATAGATTCATGCTAGCTTGACCGAATAAAGAAAAAAAAAAAATTCTATTGTGTATGAGAGACCGAACAAGAGAGAGACCTTGCTTACATGTATGCATGAATAATGTAATATAAGGAATCAATTAACCCCATCTCTGCCAATTATTTTGAGGAAAATGTTTAATTTTCAAACAAATTTTTTTTATTTGTTTTTAATACAGTAATTGAGGCCCATTGAATTAACCAAGCAGTGGTTAATAATGCTACTAGATGTATTGACAGTTAGACTAGTTTCAAGCTCAGAAGGGCATAAAAAGAATCAAGATCGATGTATGAACATATCTGTAGCTGGTTTTTGAACCTTATGTTTTAGATATGTTTATTTGCCCCTGTCTGAAAAAGATACTTTCAGTAAAATGTATATATACATGTCTATGCCAAGGAAGGGGGTAAAACCTAAATCTATACATATTCAGAGACAAAATCAAAAAAAAAAAAAAAAAAAAAAATAATGTCAGTTTGGTGTCTGAAACAACTGTAATTTTCATAGACATCACTTTTAATCATTTAGCTCTAGTTAAAAGCTAGGATTACAAATATCAATCTTCAGAAAAGATAATCCCCCACCCACATCATTGGAAGATCAGCACAACATCAGAGCTTCTTAAATTCCTCACCCAATTTTGCTCTGTTCCAGATAAATCTAAGCTTGAGAGATGTAGGATAAGTTTAACAAAAATACCTGGAGAAAAAAAAAAGAAAAAAAAGTGTGTCAAAATGGGCAGTTTTTCTCTTGACACTGCTATTAATAGTTACTTCATTATTTGGGGATTTATGCATTCTTTTTTTTTCTTTGAGAGAACTGACAACAAAAGAATTAAACACTATTTTATTGGATTGTTTATTTACAAAAATTATTTTATAAGTTTATAAAAATATATCAATCAGATATAATGCAATATTTATTATTTACCATCTTATAAAGAAATAATTATAAAAAACTTGTTATTCATAAATTCACAAACTCTGAACAAGAAAATTTAAATAAGCACATGAGTAACTGTAATAAATTTTTAAATAATGCATTTTCCAGATATTTCTTTCATTTGCTCTTGCCACATAAATTCACTGATATAGTTTATGAGCATTTGAATTTACACTTATTTTTCTTGAGAATTGACAAAAATGTTTAATACTTTATTAGTATGTTTATTTACAAACATAGTGTTTAATACTTTTTTGTTATTCTTGGGGAAAAAAAATGTAAAATCCAGTTTCATATGTTTAGGTTTTATTAAAATTCTAAAAGTAGGTTTTTAAAACAATAAAGAGTGCTGAGAGACTATACTATAATAGTCAAAGGAAAAACTGCTCTTTTGACACAGCATTTTTTTTTTTGCAGCCATACATCTTAATTTTTCCTAAATATGTAGGTGTCTCCCTAAGGTGAAAATTAGAGAGAAGGTATGCCGAAAAGGTAGATTGGAATTTTTATCACTTACCACAAATGGCTTGAAACATGTTACAAACATACAAAATCTACTTCTTTCTTCTATCAACGCCGTTCGTACAGCATTCTTTTCTGTTTCTTCTAAAATTAAATATTTGTCATTTACATCTTGTAGGGCATTTTCTAATTTACTCTGTATATCTGATTTGCCTGAAAATAAACAAAAAAATAAAAGTTAGATTTTTGTAGACAGCAATCACAGGAACAAAGAAAAAAAAAAAGATAAGAAAAGGTCACTGAACATTAATTTCTAATTAATTTGGACTAGTTAGAAAAAAATTAACAACAGAGTTAATAAAGGAATCCTTATTAAAGGGTTGGGAAAGAAAAACAAAAAACAGAAACCAGAAAAAATACAAAAGAAATGGGGAAAAAAAAAACAAAACAAAACCGGGCAACACTCAAGGACTAGCAAATGCAACATACCTTGAGGAAGGCCAAAGAAGATATTGTCTGAAATGTGATAAAAAAAACAACAGAGATGAGGGTATGCCAAGTTTAGCAGAAGATTACATTCATAGAGCACCAAAGGAAAAAGGTATTCATAATCAATGACTTGCATTTGCTTTTCTTCCAAGCGCTCATTACTTCTGTTATGAAGATAGTGTATGAAAATGTAGTCATACAGACTTATCTCCCCTTTTAAAATCATGGCGTTAAATGTATTTACAGAAAGCGTATTACATATGAAGCTTTAATAAAAGTGAAACATGTTAAATTCATAAACGTTTTCAATTTATTCTCCTTATCATTCTGTTGAATTCCAATCTGTATTTGATTTCAATTCATACTTGCTATATGGAATTCATTTTCCTTTTTTTAAACAGATTCATAGATTGTTTCAATTATGCATATACGACATAAACAAATGGTAAATAGAAAAGTAGCCAGTGTAGGACACAAAAAACCCACAAAAACTGGTTCCTTTAAAATCCTGCATGTAAATAACTTGATAAAAAACATGCAATAGCAATTCATTTAGCAAGTAAATGAAAAAAAAAAAATTCTTTTAATATTGGGTTGACCCTCCACTCTCCCTAAAAAAACAAAAAGAACTTTGCAACATCAAAGCCAGGTTTAATTTGTAGCAAATATTGTAAGATATGATACACAGTGCATATTGTGTATCAGAGATACATAACTGATATGCTAGAGAGAAAAAAAAAAGATCTTAGAAATGAGCAGACATTTTGTTTTATGCAGCTGAAGGTTTCATTCTGAAAAGAGTATTGAAAACTGCACAAGTGGATGTTGTATATATTTTGTGATATGATATCAGTACAAGTTGTACACAAATTCAAATATTTGCTGCTTTTCGCCAAATTTGATAACTGACTCATTTAAGAAAGACTGGATGTTGTTTGGGAACAACTACACGAGAGAAAAAAAATAAAAAAGGATCTGGCTGCTATCCAGCAAATTCACTGAAAAGAAACTTGGAACAATCATAAAACAGAATACCCAAGAAAAATATAGCATTTTCCACAGCTTTTGACATGTGATTGGCAAAGTTTTGTAAACATTTAATGGGGAACATATATTTTTTATTAATGTAATTATTATTGTTTTAATTTGATAAATTATGTATTCATTTAAAATAATAGGTTTTGATTTAAATGTTTTCTTAATACTTTTTTTTTTTTTTTTTTTTTTTTTTTAGACACGTTGAAGAAAATTTCTTCCTTTTTCTCTTTATTTTATATTGTCTTTTTGCAGATATTTTATTTATATCTGAATTTTGACATGTACGTGTGAGTTCTTGGGTAAGCTTACTAGGTTTAATAACTTTGCTTGTATACAAGAAATAGAACGACAAAAGTAATTTATTCAAGATATAGCTAAAAGAGAAATTTTAACTTTTAACAATCCTGCAATTTTGGAAAATTATTCTATATTTATTATTGAGTCCTCAGTTTGAATGCCTTTATAATTTACAGCACAATTTTTGTTTTTGAGGGGGTGGTATTAGGGTTTTTATTTTTGAGGGTGTGGTATTAGGATTTTTATTTTTGAGGGGGTGGTATTAGGATTTTTATTTTTGAGGGGGTGGTATTAGGATTTTTATTTCATAAACTCTTAACACAAGACACAAAATGAATTGTCTGCTTTTCATTTTCAAATAAATATATTTTATTTTGTAAAAATTATTAAAAGCAGACACATGTGAAGAAAATGTGATGTTTTTGCCATTTTATTAAAAAAAAAACAAACAAACAAAAAAACAAAAACAAAAACATATCCACGTCATATATTTTGTGTATTTAGGCAGCAATCCTTCTTTCGTGCACATTTCATTGAATATGACAGACAACGTGCTTTTGGTTTAGTTTTTTTTATACAATTTCTCATTTCAGATGATAAATTATATAAAAACTCTGAATATTTTTTTCCGAACACTTTTGGCTATACATTTAGACATTTTCAAAGATGAAATATTTTAACTGTTAGATAAGAAATAGTTTGTTGCATGTACGTATTTATATAATGTTTTCAGTTTTCAAAATACGGTCAAGATATTGTGTTCATGTTCATAGTTGATATTATTAAGTGTTGTTTTTTTTGTTTTTATTAATAAGGCTTCCATTATTTTTAGCTTTTTTTTGCATGTAGATAATGCTATGAGATTTGTGTTGTCAACAAGTATGCTACAAATAGTGTCCAGTAGATTCCCATGAATATTGAAATGAGATCTAATTAAGCTATGATCAGAAAAGTGCAGAGCAAACATGTAGTGTGGCCTATATAATTATTTACAAATTTTGATTGATCAGGAATACAATTCCTTAATGGGCATTTATATATATATATTAAATTGGAAATGAAAACTATATTCAATAAAATATAAAATAATTCAAGTATGGGATGAGATATTCTTTGTAACAACGCAGTCTTCTATTTTGCTCTTTGCCTATTATTCTTTAGTTTGGTCGATGCATTTTCTACAGCTTATCAACTCTTTGCAGGTTATTTAAAGCCAGAAAATATTTTTAGATTGTAAGAATTTTCTTTTTTTTTTTTGGGAGATAATGGTTTAGTGATACATGCCTTACTAATTAACCCATAGCTTGTGGGGAAAGTGGATTCATTCCTTTCCCAAAGGTATTTGCAAATGAATATAATGAACCCAACAAGAATTGGAACTCAGCTTTCCAATTAACAATTCTGAGCCATTATCCATTACTTCACCTGCACATCCAAGCTTACAGCACCTAGTATTCCCAAGCGGTCACCCATCTATGTACTGACCAAGCTTGATGTTGCTTAACTTCAGTGATCATATGGGAATCTATGTTTCAATGTGATATGGTAAAATAAGCCAAATAAAGTTCTTTTTGGTTGAATACATGTTGAATTAAATATATTTTGTAAGTTATCTTACATTGATTGATTCAGTCTAATATCCTCATCTTGGTTGTTTTAGTTACAGCCTTTTGATTGTTACAACCTCCAGCTTTCTTAGGCCGGTTGATTTTACTTATTGGGTTATTTAATGTTGAATGGAGCAGCTAATGAGGACTGAGTTCACAACAGCAATGGTCAAACATTCTTTTTGTTGTATTCAGTAACTTTCCGAACTAGGGTCATGAATTCAATTCTTGTGTCAAGCAGTCCGTGTTCATCTGGTTTAGTAGTAAAAGCAAATGTGGCGACAAAAACAAATCTCTTGACCTGAAGAGAGATGGGTTCTTCTCATCTACTTTGCTCAAGATATATTATACATAAATGAATACCTCTGAGCACCTGATCAGATATGACAATAGTATTCAAGGCACAGTTTCATAAATGTGCAAATTGGATTCTGACAAGAAAAATGACAGTGAGCCTTGCTTTCCTAGCACTGGATGCAGCTATTGATCCAATGTAGTCAATCCACTTCATGTCAGTGGAAAACTTGAGGTCAATAAGGCATCGTGTGTTGCTCTCCTGGAGTTTAGCATCAGCCATGCTGATGGCAGGCAGAAAAGGTTCTATGTGGTAGTTAAATGAAAATAGTTTTGTTTTTGAGGCATGAAAATTTACAAGCCATTTCTTGTCCCAGTTAATGACTAATTGGATGTCCTTTTCAAAAGCAGCAGTTAGGTTTACTTTGTCACAACAGTCGGATTTACTAGTGAAACAGGAGTAAATGGTTGTGTCATCTGCATAAATACCTAATTGGGAACTGATGACATCAGGGAGATCATTGAGTAAGATCAGAAACAGCATAGGACCCAAGAGAGAGCCTTGGAGGACCCCCCCCCCCCTCGCATTCGTCTGAAAGGATGTGGAAGCAAGCCTATTCAACACAAACTTTGTTTCACAATTTGACAGGAGAGATAGGATTAAACCAAATATTTGTCCTGTGATACCATAGCCCTGGAGCTTGCATAAAAGGCCAGCAAGCTAAACCCTGTTGAACATCGTCGAGATACATCTAAAGCCACAGTCTGAGCTGACATTGCTTAACATCAGTGATCAAATGAGAATACCATATATTCTTCTTAAAGGATATATTTGTAGTCTTTCAATTACTGGTGCAGAAAGTGGAATCAGGGAGCCGACTTCAAATTCTGGCCTTGTCTGTTGCATTTATTTTTACGCTAATGCATAAAGGCATAAATCTATCTCTTCTCCACCTAGGTATGGGCTAAATAGCAGTGTAGACAGCAATCAGTCTAGGTAAAGAACTACTATGAATTCAAAATTGTAAACGCAATAGGAAACCACTCCACTATCCTTCTAACGAAATTATGGCAAGCTACAGATAATAAAAAAAGAATAGGTATCTGAAGCATCATGATAAACAAATAGGAAATGTTTATCAATCTAATAGGTTTCACTTTTAACTGACCTTCCCGAGATAAAACTAGATTCCCCCTGCTAACTGACCCACCTGTGACAACACAGAACTCCCTCTCTCAACTGATTCTCTTGTGACAGTATTGGTCTCCTCCTCCAACAACTCATCCTCTTGCGACAAAACTGCCTTCCAATCCCTTTGTGACAACACTAGAAACGCACATGATGGTGTTGTGGCATAAGTGGAAGTATGCCTAACAGTAAAAGTTCTGTTGCAAATAAAAGATTCCCATGATCCATGTGCACACATGGTACCATATTTGTTCCGACCTGGGCTATAGATACCATGTCTTAAACTTTAACAATTCTTACAATGCAGTGTCTTAACAACTACTTGTATTATGTTGCTGTCTTGGACCTGATCTATGTTTATAGAAATATTCATTTGATCACCATTGTCAAAGTCAAATCATAACCATCCAGCCTTTTTAAGGCTCACAATCTGACCCTTTTCAAATGGCTCTAATTAAACAAAAAGAGCATTGTTTATCTGTGTAGCATAGCACCTACTTTCTTTCACTACAATAAAAATTTATTACAGCATATCTCACAGTGTAAAGCTCACACACAGACAGTGCATGAATATAAACATTACTATGATACCAAGTGTCTGTAGACTTAAAAAAAAAAAATATCAGAATATTTATCAGGCACATCCTGTAACCAGGTCAAAATAAATTGGCATAATCTTTCAGGATGTTGAGATTTTATTTTTTGTTATGACAGATCATAAACAAATCTTTCCACATTCCAAAATTTATTCAGATCATTGAAGCCCTTCATGTATTTGGGGTTGTTAATGATGAGAGCTGAAGAATGGGTTGGCTGAAATAGGTTAACATTAAGAACAAAGAGGTTCAGTTGTCTGAATAAATTTTGGAATATCAATGAATCTTAACATTATAGACCACTTCCCAAAAACCTGTTTTCTACTGTTTACTGATTAATATTTTTGGGAAATGAGTCAGGCCGAGGACTTTTCGCTCATAAATGTAGCGCTTTCCAAAGAAAATTATGTTTAGTATTTTAAGCTGATTTTTTTTCTAAATGTTGTAATAGTTTTAACATTAGACTTTTTCCTCATTTGTTTTTTTTTTTTTGTTTCCCATGGGATAAAATTTTTTTTTATCTACTCACCCACGGAATATTGCAAGCAGGGTAATATCAGTCTGAACCAATTGGGGTTCATTGGGAAAAACTATTTTAATTCCTTAAAAAGAGGGAAAATAAGAATTTTTTAATCACCTTTTTTGACCTTTTTCTGTAATCGTATGGTGTCTGCAGCACATTTCTTTATTTCTTGACTTGCTTTTTTGTATTCTGCAAAAAATAAAATAAAATTAATATAAATTTCATTACTTGTCAGATATAAAAGAAGCTACCTTCAGTAACAAACTTAACATGCCATCTCAGGACCTTGGTAATCATGGCTCTCCACAATTTCCTGTCCTTTGTATCTCTTAATAAATTTTGTCTTTCTGTTATTTCTTCTAAACCTTTCCACCCATCCATTTAATCAAGCTCATTAAGTACGTTAAACATTGTTTTCCTCTGTCTCTCTTGCCTTCAAAATGCTCTGTGAGTATCAGATTTATTCATATTCAGCAATGGATGAAACAACTACCAATTTGGACTTATATAAGTTATCTACTATTTATGGTATTTTCAAAAGCATCATTGTGTCCACGATTCTGAACTTCGTCCTAAATATAGGTTCATTTCTATTTTTCTCTATCACATCATATAGAAAAATTAAAAAAAAAATGTACGTTGAAATTTGAACAAAATTGTGATACTCTCCAAAGATGGAAAAAAAAAAAAAAAAAAAAAAAACCCTTTTCAATCTGTTTCTTTATGTATTGTAGGAGATCATGGCTCTCCATAATTTCCTGTCCTTTGTAGCTCTTAATAAATTGTTTTTTGTTATTTATTTTAAACCTTGTTCTGTTATCCATCTAGTCAAGCTCACTAAATACATTATTCTTGTTTTCCTCTGTCCCTCTTGCTTTCAATGTCCTGTAAGTATCAGATTTTCCAAACCCTCTTTCCTCGTTATGTGCTCTAAAAATTTCAATTCTCTTTTCCTGATAAATATAAGTTTCCATTTTCTCTAAAATTTTATTGCTCCCATATTCAGTCCATGGTATATCCTCAGCATCCTTCTGTAGAACTACATTCTGTTGATTCAAGTCTTCTTCATTTTTCATTCACTGCCATATAGGACATATCACATAGCAGTTCAGTACTCTTTTCTTTGTTTCTAACAAAGTTTTCTGTTTCTTAATACTTTGCTTAGCTTTTGGAATGCATCTTTGGCCACCCCTGTGCACCTTCGTATTTCACTGTCACACATTCCTTCCCAGATATTTAAATTTATGTAATTGTTTGAGTTTGCTTTTTGGGCTGTTCCTTTTGCTAACAAGCATGCATTCTGTCTTTTTGCAGTTGATATTGAATCCTTTATACACCCCCCACTCCTGAGAGACAAAAATTAAAATTCTTTAAAAATTGTGGCCTAATTTCATAAAAAAAAAAAAACATATCAGAGATCAGATTGATCATGTCAAAAATGGGGAAAAAACTCCATATATTCCCAAGCATAGTATCAGTTTTTATGATCAGTTTTATTATGCAAAAATATAGGCATTGCACTAGACATAGATCTTTTTTTTTTTTTTTTAGAGGTTAAAAATCATCCATGACCAGCTGCACTATACAAAGGTAAATTTTTTATGGAGGGATTAAAAAAAAAAAAAATCATCAGCAGATACAGTAATCTTCACTTCCTCCTTACCTCTTTCATTCATATCACACACCACATTTAATATCCTTTACCATGAAGTGTCTCTAAAGCCTTGTATTGGATGAACTTTAGTGTGTGTGTATGTGCGCGCATGTCTATATATATATATATATATATATATATATATAAAAAATAAAAGGGGGCATATGCCATTTTACACCTTTAGAATCACACTGAGGATATTTTATTGTACACCAAAAAGATTGTTACAACAAACTTGCTTTTCTTGTTCTCCCTTTTAATATTCCAAGAACCTAATGAAGAACTAATTCTTATATCCTAAAACAGGGAGACAAACGTTTTTCGACCAGAGATCCCCCTTTTGAAATATCTTTGAACCTTAAAACTTGCACTGATGTTCACAATGAAAATGCTAACGAAAACGTATGAAAAGTTAATTTGTATCAGGTTCAAAATTTCCCTCAAAAATATATTTAAGAAAATATATTAAATAATCCCAATGAATCAAGTAAATAATATATTAAGTACACCAAGCCTAAATAAAACTGATGCTATTGAACAGAAATGCATAAATGCTAATAATATCCAACTGCACTAATTAAATAAACAAATATTGCATCATACTTGATGCAATCATGCCAATCAGGCCAAATGACCTTCAGAATCAAACTATTTTATAGTAAGAGGTTGAAAAAAAAAAAAAAAAAAAAAAAAAAAAAAAAAAAAAAAAAAAAAAAAAAAAAAAAAAAAAAAAAAAAAAAAAAAAAAAAAGAAAAAAAAAAAAAAAAAAAAAAAAAAAAAAAAAAAAAAAAAAAAAAAAAAAGAAAAAAAAGAAAATAGAAAAAAAGAAAAAAAAAGAAAAAAGGGGATTGCTATTGTAATGAGTTATTGTGACACATTCCAACACAGCTATCTGAAAATCAACTTGAAATAATTAAAAATTAGAGCAAGTAATGCTCCATGTAGCATTAAATAAGCCTCATTAAAATAAGTTATTAGCTACTTGGATAGATGCAACTATGACTCTTGATGAAGCTCAGTGCCTTTCTTTCATCTGCAATGAAGAATACCATAGACATGTAAATTAACTAAAATTTTGCTCAGTGTCATTTACACACTGACCCCATTCGACATGTTCATTATCATTGACCCCCTGGTATTCCTTACCAACACTTGAAGGAGCAATTTCCTCAGATACTGTTTGACGACCTGCCCCAAAGGAATAAAATATAATAAGAGTGGAATATCTTTAAAAAGACTATACAAAGAGAACAAGATGTAGCAAGTATTAATAAAAAAGAAAAATAACTTTATACCTTTGGCATGGTCTTTGTCCATTTGAGCAACATTCCGCTTCCATTCTTCCATTTTCTCTTGTAGAGGTGCCACCAGGTTTTCTGTTATTGTACTGTAAATAAAGAAACAAAATTGAAATTTACAGAGAGTGAGAAGTAGGTGAGGATAAAAATGTTGGTAATATGAAGAAGAATTTAAAAGACTTAATTTTGCTATATAAAAATAATATATAAAAATACAAAGTGGGTTTTTGTAATACATAAATTACAATAGTTATCTCCCCTTCACTGGTGACAGCATATTTGCCATGAGTCATTATCCTCTGCATCCACATAATCTTCACTTCCTCTTACATTCATACCATACAATTTATTTAGTAACATAATATGAGTAGCTCTTGGGTTAACTTGAAATATAATACATTTCATATACAAGCTATCATCTTCAGATGATAAGTCCCAATCAATAGTTTTGATATGTAAATTCAAATTTAATTCCTAACATAATGTCAGAAAGAGGAGGTGGGGTGGGAACTGGAGCAAGATGTGGCATACATTTTGAAGAGCTGGTTTTAATGTTTCAATTCTCTCTCTATATATATATATATATATATATATATATATATATATATATATATATATAATTATTCATAATTATTCAAAAAAAACAAATACAAAGGCTAATGATTTAATTGGCGAAAATCCATTATCAATGAACAATTCAAATAATATACAAAAACCCCAAGAACCTGTTATGAATGAAAAGATCCTTGTTTTTATAAATTTCTGTTGCATTAGTTCTTATTTTACTAAAAGCTTTCGTCTGTTCCTACAGACATCTTCAGGTATGGAATAGATGTTGTTCTTGTTTTTACTCTCAGTAATAAGAGGACAACGAAAATATATGTATTGTTGTATCCGAAAAATGCTATTAGAAATGAGTTATTGTTTTTGGAGCATGCAGTAGCAACGCTGAGTTTGATTTTAAATTTTACAATTGTGCATTCTTGTACAAATATGGTGATAAGCGAATTCTTTTTTACTGGTAAATTTTCTGTCAAAGTGGCATGAATTATATTGTTCAATAATTACAGTAATTTCGCACTTATTATCCAAATGTTGCACTTGGATCAGTTATTTTAATTTCAATTAAATCATTAACCTTTGTATTTGTTTTTGTATGAATAATTCATGAATTTGTAAATTAATTGCACCTTTATTGAAATATATATATATATATATATATATATATATATATATATATATATAGTGAGAGAGAGTTGAGGCCCAAAATGTTATGGGAACTACAAAATTTATATTGAAAATAATGAGTTCAATTGCCTGAAATTCAGAATTCTACATTGATTCTTCTAGAATCTTCTAACCTGTGAAATTGCCCAACATAATTCCAGGGGTAAATTAATTAAAAAAAAAAAAAAAAAAAAAAAATGTTACAAGCTCTTATGAAAAAGGTTAGGCTGATTTTTAATTAGCAGATGGGACAGGGTAACTCAACAAAATTTGTTAGCTAAGGATGAAATGCAATCTTTAGGAGGATTAGCATTAACAATTACCGTAATAGTTACCTGACAGGTACTTGAGTGTAGCTAACATTTCCAATAGTTTTTTTTTTAAATTTATTTAATCAATTCCCTCCAAGTAAGGCAATAATGCCACTAAGATGCAAGAAAAGGAATCTGAAACTCCATCCTAAACAGAAAATAAGGGCTAAACAGCTACGCTTGTTCAAAAGACTGGAGAATGGTGTGAAACTGGCAATAGGTGAACCTATCTACTTCTATTGAGGAAAAAATAAATAGTCAATAAAATTTCAGAGTTTAGGTAGAAACATTAGAAGCATAGAGTTGAAGTAGATTTTAGTAGGAACCGGAAATCCAGTCCTAAATAGGGAACAAAGAATATACCTCTACTACTGTTCAAAAAACCGGGGAGGAGTGTGAACTAGTAAATAGGCAAACCTAGTTGTAATTCATTCAAATAAAACAAAATAATTTGTATGTTTTTTTTTTTGCCATCAATTAATATATATTTAAGGCTTTTTGGTTGACAATTACCACTGAGTAGCATGTTAAATCCTATCACATAATTGTAGGCTTACAGCTACATAACATTGAAACACCAGTACTTGTACAATCACTGAAGTTAAGCAACACAGGTGGTCACCTAGATGGGTGACCACTTGGAAATATCAGCTTGTTTGGTTGATGGTTATCACTGAGCAGCATGTTAAATTCTGTCTCTTAATTGTGGACTTATGGCTATATCACATTGAAACACTGATTCTTGTACAATATCCAAAGTTAAGCAACATCGAGCCTGGTCAGTATCCAGATGGGTGACCACTTGTGAATACCAGGTGCTGTAAGCTGGGATGTGCAGGTGGTGTAATGGATAATGGCTTGGAATTGGAAATAAGTGAGCCAAGTTCCAATTCTAATCGGTTTCATTATATTTGCTTACAACGTTGAACCTCCATTTCATAATTACCTTTCATTTTCATCCAAATAAAGTAAAATCCTCACTTTTCTACAAAGGAGTATGCATATCTGAGCTAACTTGATATATAACAGAATTGATATACAAGCTATCATCTTCAGATCATAAAACTCAATCAATAGCTTTGATATGTAAATTCAAGTTGATATTCCTTAATCTTAATATGGCTTAAAGCCAAATAGAGGAAAATGGTGAAAGATCATTCATCTACCAAGCTGAAAAGGCCAGCTGACCTTGAAAATCAGCATTCATAGTCCTAACTTTTACCTTTGAACCATGAATACTAGTGTCAATGGAGAATACTTAACTATATTAATGATAAAGCAGGACACATTTCTGGATATTCCCTAAGCAGAGTCTGATTAGGTCCAAGGCTAGAGTAATGACATACACTGAGAAAACCTACTGTATTGTTCTAATGACTTGTTTCAAAAAGAAGACAGGACATTACCTTTTGGATGCAGGTAAATAGCTCCTCACCGATATAAATGATTCAGATTTGGACAAGAATATGTGTTCATGTAGTAGAATTGTCGCATTATTAATTTCACATATTCGAAACTCAGGCAACCTTATTGAAAAACTAAAGGGGATAATCATGATAAATTCATGGCTAGTTTAGATATCAAATCTATTCAAAAACATGTTTCCCCGTGCGCCCGCGAGACACCGCCTCTTCAGCTCTTCCCCGTGCGCCCGCGAGACACCGCCTCTTCATATCTGTCCGTATGGCCTCAGACTAGTAAAGATCATATTGAAAATTTTAAAACCACTTCTTGGAATCCTTTACATATTAAAAATCTAAGCAACCTGATCTAGAAAATGTTATGCACAGAAAAAGTAGGTAATTAAGCCAGGGAGAAGATGAAGGGTGAAAAGTGTAAAAGGTAGTTGGTAGCATGATAGAATAAAATGAAAGTAAAAGTAGGTGAAAGATTGTAAAGAAAAAATGTAAGAGAGAACAGATTTGCTGTTTTGAGTTTTAATGAATCCTTTGATTTTCTGAAGTGGGGGAAGCCATAAGAGTTTTTTCTTTTTGAGAGTCATGCATATCTTATTTAGTAATGTTTTTACAGTATTAACATAGAAGCTTATGATAGCATGACAATAAGAGAAATTAATATTTCCTCAAAATTCTTTTGATTGATCATATCTAGGTGGCCAAACCCAAAAGCACACTTAAATAAGACAGGAAATTCGAACATATTAATAAAAAAGAAATGTTGTGCCCCACCTTTTCAAAGTTCACACACATTTATATATATATATATATATATATATATATATATATATATATATATATATATAAAACAGAATGACAATGCGGAAAATTTGTGTAATGGTTTTTTTCCTCTAGAAGGACTTCATTGAACACCAATGGGAGTGGACTGGGAGATATAAATGTGAGTGTTGGTTTTAATTATACAGCAAAGAGAAGTGCTGCCAACTATCACAACTACGACTAAAAAGAATTTAAACTTAACATAAAATGTTAAAACTACTTCTAAAACAATAAGAGACTTAATACAAAACAAAATAATGACAACCTAAAACCTGAATCAGGAATTTACTCTAGAGCCTATAATGATTGCCACAAGGAATACATAGGAGAGACCTAAAAGAATTTAAATAAAAGGTAGAGAATAGAGAAAAACATTAAAATTCTCCTCCCTTTCTGCCGTGCAACGATGGCCTAGAGGTAAGACATCTGACTGATGTCTAATCAGTTGGGTTTCGATCCTGGCTTGAAGCAATCAGACATTGAGCTGTGATACAGTGAAACTGTCTGTGGATGACATATATATATATATATATATATATATATATATATATACACACACACGTGTGTGTGTGTATATATATATATATATATATATATATATATATATATATATATATACACACACACACGTGTGTGTGTGTGTGTGTGTGTGTGTGTATGTATGTGCATATATATGAGTGTGTGTGTGGAATGCATGAATAACAATAAATATTTGTGTATAAAGTGAAATCTGCATGTCATGTTCAAATTCTGATGTGGCTGTTTTTTATATTCACTTTGCACTTGTGCCTTTGGAACAAGCATGAATCTTCCTTCAGGTATTGGTTAAATAATAGGGAAGATGGGGCTCTCTAGCATTAAGTGCTCAAAGAAAAGGAAAACTGAATTCAAATCTCTACTGCTTTGTGGGTAGCTTTGGATGATGAGAAGGTTAAGGAGTAAACCCTACCCAAATCCAGAAAGGAGCCCCTAAGGCATACTATCATTTTTGGCAACTCCTTTAGCTGTACCATACTGCATTGGTTTACCTCTTCTTTTGCTCTCTACAAGCAGGATGGAAAGGGGCATTTTGTAACCCAAGATCTCCATAAGCTCTGCCCAAGATAGTTGCACTATATTATTGTTTCATGATATGTTATATACGTATATATAACCAGCAGGTCAAGTGTTTCATACCCCCACCCAAACTCTGCTACATCTCAATTTTCATAAAGTAGTATTCATATAAAATATAAATTTTATTGTAACCTGATCATATGCAATATAGGTGAACA